AAGGGCAGAGAGCGACCGCTGCCAGTGTCTAACGTTGCCTTCGGAAGGCCATAGAGAGAGGAGTCCAGGCAAGCCCCAGGGTCGCTGCAAGAAACCTCGGCGCCACCAGGCCTTCCACCCGGGCCCTGGAGGTTCAACAGAGCAGAGAGTGACCGCTGCCAGTCTAACAAGTCCCAGGGTCGCTGCAAGAAGCAAGCTGCGAGCGCGAAACACCCACAGGACAAGGTTGGGGCAGAGAAAGTAGGCCAGAGCAGGCAGGTGGCAATCGCTTCTCGCTACGCTGTCCCAGGCGCCGCCCCGCCTAGGCATCAGCTAGGCAGGGGTCGGCGGATATCTGCGTTTATGCCATCCTAGAGGTTAAGTGGCGTTCATCAACCCTGTGTGTGTGCTTTAGTTCATACATGTGAAGATATCCACTTGATCGCAAAAGATGTGTCTCCGACTGAACACCCTTTGTGCTGGCTATTGACACACTTTGTGATGTGGATGGTGGATCAAAGAGTAGTCCACACAATCCCACACACACACATAGACATACATATGGTTGGATTGTAATAGTCGTTGTAGGGGCAATTCCTAAGTATTGTAGCAGCAGTGCTGAACAATGTGGAGCAACCCAACAAATAGGCATTGCCAGTGGTATCTTGTTTTGGTCTCCGAATCTGATTGGAGAAACTGTCATTATGGTGAAGGTATGTGGAGGTTAATCAAGATTAATGAAATCTTTTCTTGGACATGCAAGCGGGATGAATCACGATTGACAATTTTTTTGTATTGATACTACCACTTGCTGCTGAAGGTCCTTATGTTTTTGTGTTTTTTAAACAACCGTTCGGCATTCCAACTTGCGTTCGGACTCATCGATGCGCGTCTCGGTCGTTTCCGCATCCCAACGAGCGACGGTGACGGCGCCGGAGGAGGGCTCTGCAGGAGCGGAACGACAAGTCGACCGACCCGCCGATCCCGACCCTGAGAAGGAACCAGTCGTAGTTTCATCATGTTTCAACCATTTTTCCCGAAGAACCATCTGGTAAAGCATTGCTCGCGGCAGTGCAATTGCAGTGGAATGAAGTCTTCGTCCATCATGATACATCTGTACCGCCCTAAACATTGTAAGATCACTTGATCAACGCAAATCATAGCAACAAAACCCAACATGTGGCAGCCGCACCGAAACTCGAGAACGCAACAATTGCCGTCCGCAGATGTCCGCACCGTCTTCAAGAACCAACGAAGGAGTCCAGAACTGATTTTGTCCGGACAGGATGTCATCCAAGGTCTTCGTGTCCATTTTTTACCGTTTCTGTTGAACAACGACCTGAAGACCTGAGGATTTCTGGCGGTGGTGATGAAGCACCTGGGCGTCTCAGTGAAGTTGGCTTCTTGAGGCAGCCAACGAGAAGCGTGTCTCAGCACCTGTCCGTCCGCGTGTCTCGAGTGGCCCAACAGGTCACGCAGTTGAAGGTGCAGGGCTTCTGCCCGGTTGGGCAGAAGCGGAAAGGAAGCAAAGACACCATCTTGAGTTGGGGAAACGGGAAACGCATCTTGAAACACCTTGGTGCTTGGCTTGAAACTGATCAGGAAAGAAACCTTTGAACATTACCTTCAAAAGACCCCGACAAGGTATGCGCACACCACTGATTTTTAATCGTGCTAAGAATATTATTTTGAGCCTAGAATAGTCACATGCGCTGATTCTGTCATGTCCGCATGCAGCTTTTCGCCCAACGGCTGGCAACTGTGTTTAAAAGCACGGATTAATACAGGTGACGGCCTATCCGCTTTCCCAAGCAATTTTCCAGAGACCTCAGCCGATGTTTCAGGTGGCAACAGTGCAAGCATTCGAACGGCGTCGCTCTGTAGTTCTTGGGTATTTGGGGTGTCAAACATGTTCAGTGTATATCAAACGCTTGAGATGGGAACGCCATGCAGATTCCCAAGGGCAGAGTGAATTGATTGATGCACCCTAATCACCCTCATTACAACTCCGCCCAACTCCAGACATGCTAGGAGTCATGGACATGAGCTTGTGATGAGCAGAGATTACGGCATTACTACAGCGACCATTTTGCCACGGTAGTTAGTTCTCTTGCAGGAGACATTTCTGGGGTCCATTCAGCGCACATTCGCAGTCCTGCGCTCCTTTTTCCAGTTTCAGTTGGGGTTGTGCACAAGAGATGTCAACACAAGTAGGTTTTGCATGGCCGGATGCTCATGTGAAGCACTTCACCAAGATGTATGGCGCAACCCTACACTCCGTTGAGCCTCAGTCCAAAGCAGCAACATTCAGGTGATGCTGCAGGCTGCAGGATGCGTTTCGGCGTTTCGACATGTTTCCGTCTTGTCACCCAAAGAACCCGCTCATGTCAGTTGTCAAGGGAGACGACATGGCAAGGGCAGGGCTGCAGAAGGATATCGATGGCTGACATTTTGTGATTGATTGTTTGGTGGCACATCTGTTAAAGCAGATGATCTCATACAGTCTTCGTCCATCTCGGACTCGAACGATTCTGCAAATGTACAGATCCAGTGGCTATCGGGCACGTGTTGTAGATGCGTTCAGACCCAAAGGTTTAATGCCCATTCAAGGCAATGGCTTCTGCCCCGACAAGGTGCAAAATGAAAGGCTTCAGATTTCAAGCGGATTGGTCTAAGATGGTTTAAGGTTAATCAGAGGACTTGATTTCATGGGAGGGATGCTAGTGCCTGACCTGAAGACTCGGAACATCTGCTGTCATTCAAGAGGCCGCTTTTCAATCAGGGTTGCCTCCTCTGGTCTGAAAACACTTGCCTACTCCCCTTTCAGCTTCAAAGGCCTTTGAATATCCAGCTGGAGGGATTGGTGGAGAGTCTTTGAGAATCCACACAGAAACTCTTCACATCGTCGGGACACGGTGGCCACCGTCCGTTTTTCGCTTCGCTTTCCTCACACTCCGAGTGGAAGAGATCGGACAACACCAGCGGTTACGTTCCCCGCGGCGGAACCGTCAAACAGATGCTACGGTGTAAGCATATGCTACTCACACGGTGTAAGCATATATGATCATATATATGCTACTTCTGTTGATCAAAACTCCCCTCAATTTCAGCCTGGCTCCGCCAATGTTGGCTCAGAACATTTTTCTGTGCAACACCCACCTGTTGAGTCTTGTGGGGCCCTCAGCGCACGCGGGCTCGTGCCCTCGGGGCTCGCTCCGAATTGGACGATTTGGCATGGTCACCCATCCTAAAGACTTTGCCGGAAGCCAGAATGTCTTTGACACAGTGGTTGGCCGCAACCTCTCGAGGAAGTCCTGGATGGTAATGGCTCAGTGGTAATTGCTCGTCCCTCCCCCTGTCCCGCTGTACCACATGAATTTTGAGGCCTTTTCCTCTTTGGTGACAATGGAACGCCGCTCATTTTTCAGGCGGCAGGGCGTTTTCAGCCTTTTCTTCTCTTGAGAATGCCTGAGCGAAAGTGAACTGTTTCTGCCCGTGCAGCACCTTGTTGAATTCGGATCTCTCAAAACGCCCCACACACCCCAAACTCGCACCCCACCATTCATGGCAGTCACATCTTTTTCTCGTGTTGCTTCTCTCTGTTTCTCGCTGTCAGGCCCGCCGTCGACTTTGATGCCCTGAGCCCCTTGAGTGACAGTGACCATGAGGTGAGAAGATGTGAGCACACAGCAGAGATTTTTCACCCCAAAAGCAGGATAAGAATGCACTTCTGTTTGTCCCGTAACATGTGGGAGTGTTAGCTCTTTCGTTTTTGACTGAGCTTTTGTGTTTGATAAGTACACAGCCTGTAGTCTACAGTCACAATACAGGTCAGTAATGATTCTGCATGCAGATGCGCTATGTACAATTGACACCTGTTGGTGGAACAGTTTATGTTGTATGAGTCACTGTATGAGACACATTCTTGGCAGGAAATCACAAGACTGGGGCAGTCATGTCTGTGCAGCATCTCTGTTTGCAATGCCTAAAGTTGCATGACCAGCACGACATTGTTCTTTTTGCCACCAAGCTGTCCACTCAAACTGGAAACTGCTCTAATACTGTACCGACATGTCGCTTGCAGGTGTTTGCTGATGCTCCGAGGATGGCGGCCTTGATTGGCAGGAAGCGCCAAAGCCAGGCATCGGAAATGCATCTGAGGGTGGCAAAAAGGGAGACAGACCCACTGGTCACAGTGACTAGTGTTTCTTATGTTTGGACACTGGTTTTGTTGTTTTCCCCTTAGATCTCTTAGATGATCTTAGAATATCGTGTAGTTCCCGGGATGGTCTACAGTATAGTCGTCGGAGTCTGGAATAAAACATCGGAAGATGCTCCAAAGAGATCCGTCGTCGGTTTCTCTCCCTGTCGACGGTGGATGGAGATCGGCCAAAGCTCAGTTGGCTCTTTTCTGTGGGCTGTCGGTCTATCACGGCGAGATGGTCCGAGTATGTCTCCACCAAGAGGCAGTTTGTTTTTTGTGTTGCTTTGCAAAGTGGGCAGAAGCACTCTAAGGAAACATGTGGATAGAACTGAACATGATAGAAGCTCAGAAAGACACCCACCATGCACTGCACTGCCTTGAAGAATCAGGCAGAATCCACAGCTGCAATCCTTCGCCAAGTGGAGTTGAATTCTCAACAATTTAGGCATCAAATCCTTAACCTGGACCACCGAGTTCCCATCAAGTGGACTCGGAAGTGTTGAAGAAGACCGGACGTGCTTTGAAGATCGAAGGGCTGGGCTTCGCGCTTTTTCCCGAAGACCTTGGAACATGCGATGGGGTGATGGTAAAAGATTGTAAAAGTATCACCTGCGATCAACTGCCGATCATGGAGGGCAAAAAGTTTGGCCCACCTCTGGACTTAAGTTTGAATTTTTGGTCAAGAAGCCACCTGGTCACCCAAACAGCTCAAAGCAGAGTGTAACCAGGTGACTGGAAAGGCTGGCAAAGCTCTTTTTGTTGGTATGTTCAAGGGTTCCGGGGCCGGGCATTCCATCACTGCGAGGCACAGCCAGAAGTCAAGCCAGCCAGGCACGTATCGGCCAGAGCCTTTTGAATGGATTTGATTGGAAAGTTCGCCAGCCGCCAGCTGTTGAATGTGTTGCTGACAGGCTTGGAATAAAGAGCACCATCCTGTCTTCTTATCAAATCTAAGTAAATAAGAGATTCTATTGGGGTGCCGAGCTTCTTATTACAGCGCGACATGGTAGGATTGGTGGCTGCAAGGGCAGTGAAACCGAAGGCTTCTCGCTGCCGATGCTTCGGCAGGAGCGTGAAGGAGCGTGAAGCCTGGGCTGATCTGCAGACCGATGATGAGGACCTTGGATCTGATCTGACGTGGATCCTCTTTTCTATTTCTTTTCTCTTAGCCTACTAGCCGACTCCTACTTAATTTAGTAGGCGCCTACTTAATGAACTAAGGGAGTAGTTCGCTACTAGCAATAGGAAGCTCCTAGGTAGGATGCAGGACACCGCTCGCACTAACGATTTGGTTCCTACAGATTTTTATGGAAACTTAACTCGCGGTCATGTATCAATGTAAGTTTTGAACTGTTCGCGTCAGTCTGTCCCTATAATCGGTGTTTTTTGGGTTTTGTGTTGTTCCTTTTCCCAACGGCTGCCGAACTATATGGGTAATGCGGCATGCCCCCAATTGTACTGTCAGTTACTAACTCTAGTGATCCGCGTGCGATGCTTGCTGGCAACAAGGAACTGTTCCACAAGTATCTAATAGCTTCTTGTTACTAATGGCCTCCGACCCTCTAGCGATGGCCTCCACCTAGTAGCTTCTTGTTACGAGTAGCTTCTTGTTACTAGTAGTATGGCCAGGAGCTACTAGTAGCTTCTTGCTCCTGGTAGCGATGCCCTTTGCTACTAGTCTTCTCAAGGTCAACAACTCATGGTAATTGTAGGTCTACGGCTACGGTTGGTCCAGTATTCTATTGGTTGCACCCAATAAGCTGATTGTATACTGCTATAACACTACTGGCTGAGTTGTAGATGGTTGTAGTTTCGAAAATTTCCTGGTTTGGGTCTTCTTTTTGGTATTCCATGGTATTCCTACGACTGCCACAGATTGCCCTCCATCTTGACTGGGGATGCTACTTGACCTTTCACCGCTTTCGCAAGGACAACTTCCCGAGCTGGGAGCCTAAGATGCGTGAGGCAGGTGGGTGAAGGGAGCTGCCGGTGGAAGAGTGGAACGGTCCCAACGGTCCCGGTGGACAGAGTATTGACCAAGCAACTTGGTCTACTAGCGTCCTTGCTCCGTTCGTAGCGTTGCCAGGAGCCCCGAACGTAGCTTCTTACTCCTTGGTGCAATCTCTAAGTTGAGTGATATTTGCTGCGGCGTTCCTTTTTATGTTGGAAGAATTGACCTCGGCTGCCAGCTTGTAGCGGCTGTAGCTGCCGTATCTTGTGCTCACCCGCAAGCGCTTCACCTTTCAACACATGGAATGCGGCAACCTTTCTTGCCTTTCGTGATTGAGCACTCTCTTCTCCAGGCACCAAGCGTGGCAGTGACGCAAGGCGTGGGGGGGGGGGGCAGCTTTGACACCTTTCAGTCCAGGCGCGGCGAAACCGCAAATCGCCAGGGCTTCGCTGGGATCCACTTGGCCTTGAGGGGGAATGGCCCCTTGGCGCGAGGCGTGAAGCACGTGTGGTGCCGATTTAGGGGGAATGTGGCGGAGTCTGGAGATGAAGGCAATGAGACCTACAAAAACGGAAAAATATAGCCTGGCCTGCTGGCCTAACGTAGCCTTTCTTTTGACAGGCATGTTTGACAATTGAGAAACGCATGGGATTGAATTATTTCTTGATGTTTTCTTCTTCTTCTTCTTCTTGTTTGGCCAGCACTGAGTTCAGAATGGGCATCTCCTGCCTTCAACTGCCGAAACCCAGGTCCCCAGTCTCTGATCTTCTGTTCAACAAGATGGCGGTGGAGAAGCAGAATGACCTGCAGAGCAATGGCACTGTGTTTGACAAGTGGCGGCTGTTCTGCAGCGTCTGTAGCGATTCAACTGGAACGGGAGCATGTTTCCCCCAACTTCTCTTGGGCTTTTGATTCAGAACTCCAGCATTCATTTCGCCTCAGGTTCACACAAATCAACTTAAAACCTTGGAGCGTCCCACCTCCTTCCCCCCAAATCCCTCCTTTGGTCGCCCATAAATCCTCTCGAAGATCTGCAGCTTGGAACGGTGCCTGCCCTGAACACCGAAACGAACCGGAGCTTCGTCGCCGTTCGGTGTGATTCGCCAAGCGCAGCCCCAGACTCGTCGCCGGTGGGGCGCGATTCGCTTGGCTGACTCCAGGAGTGTTCGATTTTCACCCACCATCTGAGGTCTTGGAGCACCACAGCCACAGAGGTGGATGCACTTCCCCCCCCTCCAAGAGGACCGCTGTAGAGCCGTTGGTCGACCAACGGACCCTGTAGCGCACAACTCTGGGATGTCGGTTGGTGAAAGCCAAGAACTTTCCATAAAGACCGGAGCCCCTTCATCCATACTAATTATAGTAGCACAAAGTTCTGTAGTAGTAGTAGTAGTAGTAGTAGTAGTACCTTCACATTTTGGATATGCCGACCATGCCTTGGTGCACAGCGCACACCCCTTCTCAGGAATGCCCAAGGATTCGAAGGTTCCTGAAAGCCCGCTGCAGGGCGCAGATTTTGACAGTTTGCACCCAGCGCAAAAAACGGTTTAAGAAGGAGAAGGTAATTTGTTCCAATACCAATTGGAGAAGAACCCAAAGGAAAAACACAAAATCAAAAAGAAAACTCAACAACATCCACATCCTTTTGGGCGACCGCCACACGTCCACGAAGCACAGCAATGTCTCTTCCGACACTGTCGGAGGTTGTTAGTCAAGGCCAAGGCAGCCTTGTCCAAACTTGCTTCAGCAGCACCGAGTTCATCCCCAATCTTTTTCAGCGTGTTGCAGGAGAATGCAGGAGATACTATCCTGAGACATGCTATGTCATTACTTCAGCAGTAGTGCTTATGTAGTATATCCTTCATCAATACACAATAGAATGAACAATGCCACCAAATCAATAATAAACCATCAAAAAATAATACATATATTGCGCAATTTGGGTGGCCACCATCTCTCCGCCTTCGGTTTGTTTACCCAGATGACCCGGTTGTAGACTCGCGAGGAGTCTTCGCCGAGCTCACGTAGCAAGGAGAGACGCAGCCTGTGGTCTTGGAGGGAAGTCGGATTAACAGATTCTGATTGTAGTTCAAGTAAGTCTTACGTTGAAAAACATTTGGACCTCAAACGCACCGTTGTTTCGTGCCCATGAGATACTTCGGTGTCAGACCTGTTGAGATACTTCTCGGAGTTTGTTTGAGCAGGTGCACTTGTTGGAACTCCAGAAGACAACGACGCGAATGAGAGGGTGCAGCATCCTTAAGTAGTGATAGTCTTAGTGGAGCTACTTACTGTATCTGTCCGGTGTGGATGTATGGAAGCTATCGGTGACAGCGAGGGAAGATGCGTTTTGATGCGTTTTGTAACTAGCAGTTTCGAACTCAGAACATTGGATGTTGAGCACATACTTGGAATGTCAACCAGATGTTCTCAACATCGGATAGCCGGGATGTCTTCGTCCGGTCGCTGCCCTTCGTCTACCTTTTTACCCTTCGTCCGGTCTGTAGGACTGGTCGTTCCGGATCCAGGGGCCTCATTAAGTCCGAAAGAGGCCTTTCATGCGGGCATGGATACTGTATACTCGTTTGGTTACCGTAGTTCGCTCAGGCAACTCCCTCCGAAATCGGGGCCTTGGTCTCCGGAGACCCCTGAATCCATTGATCGAGTCCATCGAGTGAGTCCTCGTCGAGTCCTCGTCGAGTCCTCGTCAGACCAGCGATGCCGAGAGCGAGGTCGGAAGAGGGGCGGTCGGGGCTTTTGGTGTTTCGAACGAGGGAGGTTTTGAGAGATGAAACATGATTCGATGACACGTGGTGTTTTCTTCCACCAGGTGGATGTGTGAGATGATGTGAGATGATTAGGTATCCGATTTTTAGGTATAGAAGCTTTGTTTTCGCTTCAGAGGCTTTTAGATGCTTTTAGATCTTTTTGTCTCCCGAGTGCAGTACAGTACTCTCTTCAGAATGACATTCTCTTTGACTCGATCCCTCCCGTTTTCAGCGCTGAATTCTCCTTTTGACACTCTTCCGGTGCTGGGAGGGCAGGACGAGAATTCGCCCTCGCCCGCAGGCTGCGCAGGCGTCCCAAAGTGAACAGCTGTCGGGGGCCTCAGAGGGAGGATCACCACCACAATTCAGCTAGCAGCAGCTAGCAGCTATTTCGACCTTGCTTTCTTCCCTGATCAAATATCATGAAGCTTTTTTTCACCAGGTGACTGTGCCGAAGCTGAACAACCTAAACAACATGTTTACCGAACCATGTGATCAAAACGCCTATGATTCATTTTCCACAAATTGCAAACACCGGCCAGGCTAAAGGATTCAGTGGGAGGTTCACCCAGGATGTCATTAAGAAGTGCAGTCATCCTCTCCAGGCCATCCCAAGCGCCACAGAACCAGCTGCGGACTGCGCAGCTGCCGATCCCTTCGCAGATGCTGCAAATGTCGGTGCCTTTGCCCCCGCAACTGCAACTGCAGCAGGTTGCCGTGATGCCAACGCAGGCTCGGCCCGGCCCCACGGCTTGCCGGGTTGGCTCGCCGCGGCTTTGCGCCGCCGAACGTGTCGGACGCCGTGGACCGTTGGGACGCTGCACCGGACGCTGTCATCCCCTTCGGTGTCGGGACGGGCGGTTTCTGTGACGGGTGGTTTCTGTCGGTTTCCGAGCCCACCATCTTGGAGTGGGTCTTCTTTTTTGGGGGGATTGACCGACAAAGTGGTGGCCCTGGCTTCGAAGTACTAGTAATCTGTCGTTTTTGGAGAAGCGGAGGAGGCGCGCTGCCACATGTCGCGAGGGATTTCCAAAGGCGAGGGCGAGGGTTTTTCTTTGGCCGCATGCAAACGGAGAGGTTCACGGACTCTTTCTGCAGCAACTCCATGACTGACCCAGATTGAGCCATGTCAGCGTGAACACACCATCAGAGTTTGGAGGCATAATGGCCACAAGCAAATATCTTCCGTTTGAAGGATGAAGGCATAGCATACCCTCATTCTTCTGTCTTCACGGGCTCCCGGTGGATTCGCTTCTTGCAAGCTGCACTCCGCCTGGACGCAGGCACCTCAGCAAATGATGGTGCCAGTTCAGATGCCCATGGGCATGGGCGGCATGGGCATGTTGCCCATCATCATGCAGCTGCTTGGCTTTCACATGCTTGTGACAGCGTGTGAAGGGCAGCCAGTGGTGGGAGGTGACATGATTTCATGTGTCAGCCACTCATGGAACATCAAGGGATGGATGGGTTTGGAAGGAAAAGCAATGTGAAGCAAGGGGTAAGAGTCAGATGCTTTAGTGAATTTTTGCTGTTCCCAACTCCAGACTGTCTCCTTTTTGTAGACCTTCACAACCAGACATATGGTGAGAACATCCTTCTTTTGTTTGTGACTATGAAACAAGTGCACCTTGCACAAAGGTGGAAGCTTGGCGTAACTTGATGCCTTGTTTGAACATTTGGAAGGGATCGATATATAGCATTATATAGCCATCACACTTTTGTGTGCAATGTGACCTGTTCTTTAGCAATTTCGACTGCATTGCACGCCATGTTTACTTTGAATGCTTGTTTCGCCTTCAGTGCAATCTTCGGATTTGTATTTGCTGTCACTGCAAGAGGATTCAGACCTGATGCAGTGACACATATGATGTAGTTGATACGTATTTGCTAGTCTCCCAATCTGCCCGTGCCACTGCCGCATTTTGCTGGACAAATGCTGGTCAGTTGGAACTGTCATTGAGTCATTGGTCAAAACCCAGATCTCCAATCAACACCATGAACCGATGTCGCTCCAAAGACGGATGCTCAGGGACCGTCCAAAGCACCAGGCTTTTCCAGTCCAACCGCGCACACGATGCTGGGCGAACGGCTCAGGATGCCGCAGATGCAAACGGTGCCGAACTCCATGCCGAACGCGATGCCATCGGTGCAAAACTCCGTGGCGAGCGCCGCTTGGTGGCCTGAAAGATGTCCAGGTTGGACGGGCTTCTAAGAATGGACATGGCATTGAAAGTTGGAGGGACCTGGTTTCCATGGTCTCCATGAATGCATTTTTTCGTTTTTGTCTCCTGAATGGTGATGTCGAGAAGCATGCTTAGCATGTCTTCTAACTTTGTTTGCCATGTTTAGAGAGAATCTGCCAAGTTTGTCCGTCCATTTAGCCATCCTATTTTTGATTGATGTCCTACTACAGGTTTCATTTGTTCAGTTGCTTTCTCAGCTTCCTTCTTCCTGATGTTCCACAACTCCACAAGTGGGCCCGCCAGTTCAGTACGTTTTGTTCTCTAGATTCTGGAGCATTCAAGTTTGGGAGCACCAGTGAAGGTTGATAGCACTTAGCTGCACTTCTTCAGGTTGATAGTACGTTGGGTTAGGCTCCGAACGCTCGGCATTTTGCCGAACGGTCCATCGATCCGGCTTTCTGGGGGCGTCCATGCCCTCCGAACGACCGAACGACTGACGGCGGCAGTGTTTGGCGCCTCGGTGGTTAATGACTTTTTGGGTCAGAACTGAACTGAATCGGCTCCCAGGATTTGGAGGATTTTTTTCGGACCTTTCACTGATTTTGTGGGCCATTCCGGATTTTGGACCTGTACATTTGGGGGGCCTCTGACACCACTTTACACCCAGCCCCCCATGGCGGTCAGAGGCCACCATTCTTTTTTGATTTCGACGGGTGGGGCGACGGTGCGGGTGTGGGATGGTTCTTGAGGGCATCATCCGTCAGATTGGATTGCGTAGTTGATGTGAACCAGATCCAGTAATGTTGGGTCTTGAAGGGTATAAATATAAACCGTTCCCGCCTCCGAGCAAAGAATCGAGGGTGTCTGAATAGTATCAAGGCCACCAAAACAATTATATATATAGTTGTATTGCTAGCAGCAGCAGTGGTGGTGGTAGTAGTGGTGGTAGTAGTAGTAGTAGCAGGAGTGGTGGTGGTGGTGGTGGTGGTGGTAGTTTTCAGGTCGGAGTTCCATGAATCAAGCAAAACTCAGAAGAGTTAAGTAAGGATCTTTAATGGCAGCAATAGGGGAACAAAGTAGTTAGAACATGCATGTTTTAAACATTTTTCCTAAGGTTCCAAGTTTACTTATTGATTTCACCCCCTAAGCAACGTAAGCAATTGGTATTGTTCACGTCCCCGACCCTTGAAAATTTGTTTGGAGCATTGACATCAGTGAGTTTTAGCCAGGGTTTTTGGAAGAGGTTTTCAGGTCAGAGTTCCGTGAATTAGTCAAGCAAACTCAGTAGTATTAGTAGTAGTAGTAGTAGTAGTAGTAGTAGTAGTAGTCGTGGTGGTGGTGGTAGTAGCAGCAGCAGTAGTAGTGGTAGGTAGTTTGTAGTCGTAGTAGTTGGACCAGGACCCCTGCCACTCCATGGAGTTTTCTCACGACTTCAATTTTTTTGTTGCGTGTTGTCTGTTGTCCAAGTGTTTCTCTCTTGTCAAAGTCTTTTCTTGCGTGTTGTCTCTCTTTCCTTTCCGTGCGCTCATCAGTCCCTGGCTTCTATAACCAAACACATGCAAAAACTTCATACCAAGGGCATACCACTTCTACACTACACTACCCACCTCGGTTGGTATCTGAGTGGGTGGGGATGTTAATGTTCGCTTCTAGTGCACACCCATTGTACATTCCGTTACATTACATACTCTTCTACGCTACGCCGCTACGCTATGTTATGTTATCCCACGTTTTGCTAGTGTTTTGGGGGGGGGGGGGGGGGGGGGGGGGGGGATGAAGCGCGCACCCATGGTACAATTCGTTACTCAAAATGACCAAAGCTACTTCATATTTTGATCCTAAGTGCACTCATTCTTTGACTCTTCTCTTTCAGCGAGTCTTCTTTGCCATTTAGCAAGGCTCGTTCAACAAGTCATTTGGCATACATTGTCAAAGGAATGTTCGCCACATGTACTGCATCACCAACTTGATGCCATGACCATGGCCAGTTCTTCTAGGAAATCATCCTGGAAACAACGTTAACATCCCCAACCATCCCACCCACTCAAAGTCAGTAGCATAGCGCATAAGAGTATCTTGGGTGTGCTCCTAGAAGCCAATGTTAACATCCCCATTCATCCCACCCCACCCAACTCAAAGTCAGTAGCATAGCGTAGTGTAGCGTAGAAGAGTCATTTATCTGAAGACAATGTTCCTTTTGCGCCACGGCACAATAGAGGTCGGGCTTCTAGTAGCTAAACAAGTATTTTTTAACGGCAACAATAGCAGAAAACTAGAAAATACACAAATGGGAGTCGTTCTAAAACCCACATAACAGAATTTAGTAGCACGACTCTTTTGTTGATAGTAGCTAGTCTAAAACCTGCATCGCGCAAGGCCGGCGCAAGGTTTTGCGCATGGACTACTTACTAGTTACCCGAATTTCTATGAAAACTTACTAGCTTGTGCTTTGTGGAGTGAAACCAAGATTTGAGTTTTTTAACGCTTTCAGGCTTCAAGTATGCTTCATAATGTTTTAGCCATATGCTTCGGAATGTGGCCAAAACAGGATCGAAATCCGCGCAAGGTTCGCGCAAGATCCGTGCAAGCCCGAATGTATGTAGAACTGGACTGGCCATGTCGACCAGCTGTTTCGCATAGTGTTTGAAAAAAAAGGAAGCTGCAATGCAGCAAACAAACACACACTGGGAAGGTCGAGAAATGGGTCGTTAGCCCCTTGCCCTGTGGTTTGTAAACTCTCTGCCTGTGACAGCGGTTTACATACACATACACACCCACGAAAACAGGTAAACTGAAAAACTTAATTGAATAGAACATGTAGTTTTACTGTGTTCGCGCAAGATCCGTGCAAGATTCGCCCAAGGCCGGCGCAAGGATAGTTTTTCAGGAACATGTATGTTGAACATCCCCCAAATATTTACATAAAGCACACTGCGTTAATTATATTAATATTTTTCCCCCATTAAACTATTTAGGGTGTGGGAATAATTCTGTGACAAGTTCTTATTATCCCCTCGTACTAATTAGGATCCGGCATTATGAGAGGATTCGTGAGAAGCTAGGATAGTGGTGAGTTACCGTTTTCATACGTTGTAAGGTCCCAGGTGGTTTCAGCTTTTGTTTAGCATGACAAATCCGTGAAATATAGGATTATGCCGTGTCACCCGCCTCTTCCATCCATTCTTCTTGGATCTTTCTGATTTCTGGAAGACACCTTCACCTCTCAGTGGCACAAGGCATCCACCTTCACCTCAGGCCAGAGATAGTACTGCGGACGGCTCGTTCGAATGGTGGGATGCGAACCTATTGAGAGCCATTGATGTATATGATCTCTTGATCCTTTCAAATTGAAACAGATCAACACTCAGAAAAAGAGACCATATAAACTCAGAAACATCAAGAGATCAAGAAACTTGAGTTTTGTTATACACGATCAAGAAATCAAAACTCAGAAACTCTGCTGTTGATGAAAGGTCTTTTCTGCAAACTGTCAGCCACTTCTCTCAGCCACGAACCTTTTGCCCGAGCACCTCATCAACCTTGAGGACTCTTCAATGAAAGGATCCGCCGCTAAACAGTTTGAACCAGCGGTCCAATGAGTGTTGGCTGTTTGCTGCATGTGACATTGTTGTTTGTTAGAGCTTAATGGATCTTCCAGTGGAAACATGCACCTTTCGTTGAGCAACGCATGTTGAATCCCAACAGGACCCAAACCGTTTTCATTCGTCAATGGCGAACCAAATCGATCGTGCCGAACGCGGGCTCTCGAGCTCAGCCCATCCCCCGGAGCCAACTTCAGACATCGGAAGCATCGGAAGCAGACAGCGGGATCAGTCGGACAAACAGCGCGATCGATCTTGTTGGGTGCGCAGGGTCTGAGCTGGCAAGATTAGAACGTCCCAGAACGCATGCTGTTTCGTGTGATGGATAGGAAAGCTCTATTTTGGGGGATTGGATTGGACTCGTGACACGACCGTGCCTGACAGCAGCTCCTGCTTGACCCCCCAACCAGGCCCTCAAGGCCCTGCCTTTGGCTGCGCGCACCGCTTTCACCCGAAGAACTCCAGCATGGGTGTCCTCTCAGCAGATGCGCGAAGCTTCACAAAGCGATACAATAAGGACCGAGCGGCGTTTGGAGGTTTTGGAGGTCCATGGATTGTTTGTGTTTGCGAACATCAAGAAGTGGAAGGACTGGACGGACATATGGAAAGAGATTGAACGAATTGGAACGATAGTTCTGCGTGAACTTTGCAGGATTGGTGGTTCATTCTTGTGTGCTATGTGCACAGTTTTGTGTTAAGTTTGAGTTGGAGGCAGGTTGCGGGGTTGAGGGCTGCTATGTCAATCTGGGACAACATGGTACAACCGCAAATCAGCTATTAGAATCACCTGGAGCGGCATAGTGTCCCAGTGCTGGTCAACCACCGTTTTCCGCGGCACCTGGTCACCTGGCTCTCCAGGGGCGCTTGAGCATCATCTCCGAGAACAAGGTGCACTTCAAAGGCACTGTGCGATATGCCGCGCCTCGCTCGCGGTAAGGCGTGGTTTTAAGATGTGTTATAACGCAGGGAGACTTTCCAAGTTCTCCTCATGGCGAAGTATGCAGTAACCCTGAAACGTGCATGTGATGAAGGACACGAGAACTGGTGGGGATATGCGAGTTTCACTTTTTACTCATTTTACTCAACTCAGCCTTGGCTGGATTTTTCACAGTGATCGTTCGAGCTTCGTGTGGTGCCCCGATCAAGGTGCAATTTACCGAGGGAGAGCTGTGCAGTGCTGACGGAGCTGCTTGGCCTAAAGACGGCCAAAGCAGTCATTTCTGGAGCGGCAAAGAAGCAGTGGGGGGATGGTCTTAAGATGTCTTAAGCAAGACAGCTGGACACGTGAGTGAGTCCAAGAACCTTTGAGGTGGAATCCAGGTGGAACCTGTTTGGCAATGTGTTAATGGTTTCACACGTTTTGCTGACTTTTGCCGTACCTAGGACGAATCACCCACCATGGTTTCCACAGCTTGCGGAAACTCCCTCGACAAACTCTGAGGTGGGCTTCATCCTCTCGTCGGACTTGCCTTGCACGCGAAACATCCAAAAGATCATTTCGATCTTCGTGAATCGAACTGGCCGCATTTGTCACCTGGATGAAAGAACCAGCGACAGGAGCGACGAGCATCGTGCCGAGTGACGTTGTTCCTGGGAGTCCTCGTCCGGTGAAACACCGCCTGTCCGACGCTCGTCCGAGCGATTCCAAGGCGTTCGCGTGCACGATGAGGTGGAGCGCTGCCCTCAACATGTGAAGTGCCTGGAAATTGGAGATTGGCTCGAGGTGAGGTTCGGCATGGGTCGACTTCAGGATTGAGGAGGATCTTGTGATGATATGACCAGTCTTGCAACAGCCCTTGGACACGTCGTCGAGGATTTGTGGTTCCCTACCATTGACGGAAAGGACAAGCACGCAGCTAGGATAGGGGCCTTAAATGGCATTTACATAATGTATAATTACATTGCTTTGTGTATGCCAGGTCAACCGTGGCAACCTACATAGTTTCTGCGGGATTTCAACCAAACCCATGGAGTGCATGCTTTCTTTGAGCCTCTCCCTCCCGTGAAAGCATGTCACATGTCGGAATGAACCCACCACGGACGCTACGCAGCGATGTCCAAATTGCCAGGTTGCTGCGGATCTGGAGCAACAAACGGTCAGCTTCACTGTTTGGCCACAGGCGTCAGCTGCCTGTCACAGCTTTTGGGCACGAGTATGTGCGAGTATCTAAGAGTGATGTTCCACAAAGTTCCACAAAAACAATCTGACTAAGTTAAAGGTGTTCGATTTGCTTGGTCTAATGTGGTGTAATTGCTTTCTCGGATCCTTGGCTGGACCCTCCATGCCTGATACCATCCAACCCCCCGTGAAACACGACGTTTTCCTCGGTGTTCAGGACAATTCTGAGCCATCCTCCGCCACTGTGCACTTCAAGGAGATCTTGCAGGAGGCCTTTTCCATGGATGATCAACTTTCATCACCACAGCATACCTTCAAACGACGGCAGTGGCAGCAGAAAACGAAGAAAACAGTTATTCTTGTTCAAAAGACTTTCCCTTTTGAGAAGGATGCGACATTCACTTTTGAGAAACGAATCTAGCAATGTTATATTTGTATACACGCTGTGCACTTTTACACACAGCAAACTCAAGGTACAGTTGCCTCATCGAGCCATTTGTGTGGCAAGCAAGAGTTGAAAGGGCAATTCTAATTGTGCAAAACAACTGCCACAGTTTCCAGCAATAGTGTATCATCCGTTCATCCTTGTTGTAGCCACCAAATTGATTGAGCCGCCGCAGAGCCAGCACTTCATTCCACAACTGTAAACAATTTGTATTGATGTAGTCTCCAGGGTCCGAATCAGTAGATGTCAGTAGATGTCTAATTCATTAATTGGATATGGCAGTAGATGTGGCTGTTTTTCAGGGGTCCGAATCGGTGGCTGTTAGATGTCGCCAGGCACGCGGCCGGCTGCATGGTGTGCCACGAAACCCTTGCGGTGGCGTGGCCAATAGTTGCCAACGCGCGCACTCTTGTACTCACCCCCATAGGGGCAATCCCTGTTGTAGCAGTGGTGGAGGGACTAAGGCTAAGGTCTTTCTCAGACCTTCCAGATGGACTGCTGCAATTCCAGATTGATTCACTTGCTGCTGATCTACTTAAGAAAATCCAGACCCCAAAAGACGTCGAGCCCATTCTTTGGCAACACATCAACACATCTAGATAGACATTTCTGGAAATGGACACCGACATAGTGAAATGGACCACTGTCCCAGGATGTTTCAGGACCTCGTGAACTGAGGATTTTTGGCCGTGGTGATGAAGCACTTGGGTGTCTCAGTGAAGTTGGCCTCCTAAGGCGCCGACCTGAGGAGCAGAGACACAAGAATTCTCGCTTTTGGGCGGTCACGCGTGAAGAAGCGCCCGGAATGGCGGAGCGAGGTGGGTGTGAGTGGGTGTTTCGGTGGGTGCATGGGTGTGTGCCGTTTCCCTCCGCCACTTTCAGCCGCTGAGCTGCCGTGAGCTGCCGTTGCGATTCTGCAGATGCGCATAAACCATTTGTTAAAACACCTACAAGTTCTTGGACTTTTCGCCTTGCGGTTCTCCACCTTCCTTCCACTTGGGAATTGAATAACTGAAAACCAATGTCAGAGTGTGTGTTGGTTGTTTGCGTCGTGGGTTGGGTGTGCGCTTGCTTTAGGGTGGGTGGGCGGGTGGGTCGGTTGTTGCGGTGCGTAGGTGGCGTTGCTTTCCGAGGCTGTGGCTGGGGGCTGCGGCCGCTCAACTGCTGATAGCATCATGGCAATCATTGCCTCGGGACTTGCAAAGGATATCAGGATAATTAGCTGCTGGAGGGCAGGTCTTCAACCCACGCTCTCACATTTCGGAGCCAGGCAAGACAAGGTTGGAGTGAGAGCCATGCCGCCTCATAGCTATCGTGGAAAAGGAGAAACACAACTGCAAGAATTTGATAGAATTTGGGCCCAAGCGGCAGCACTTTCCATTGTTTGAGTTGCATGTGTAGACCATCCAAAGACGGCCCTTTTTCATCCGTTTTCCACATTTTCGCCTGACCCCAGATGACATTTTTTAAGGCTCGCCTGTGTTCTTCAGAGGATGCTTCAATACAACAGGTGATCGCCTACAGGTGGCTTTTTCTCGGTCTCAAATTTTCAGCTTTCAGCCGATGTTTCGAGCCAGGCGTGACATGTGCGTCCTTTCATCTACGCTTTGCAGCGCATGCGGTTCCCGTTCTTTTCCCACGTACTGGCGTACTGAAAACCAGATGCGAAAGACCGAACGGAGCACTAAGCAGATTTCAGGGAGCAAAGTGAAGTGACTTGCGTACCCTCATTGCAATATATACGTTCATCAAAGTGGTCGTAGACGTCAGCTTGTGAAGAGCAGAGATTACAACATTATCAATGATCAACATTGCAGCAACCATTTTGCCATGTGGCTCTCTCAAAGGAGACATCGCTGAATCAAAATAGCACATTTCAGTGCAGGCTCGAAGTTCTGCGCTCCTTTTTCCAGTTAGGGTTGCGCATGGGGGGTGTTCAAACACCTCAGGTTTGCACATTACTTTTGCACACTTCAGATGAACCCAGGGGCGCGACCCTACGTTTAATCTCAGTAGCAACATTTAGGTGCTGCAGGTGTTTCGATGTGAGGCAGTGGCAGCTTGCCGACGCTAAGCGGAACAGACTATAGTGATTCTCGCGTTTGATTGAACCCGATCCGCAGCTTTGTTTAAAGCCCGGCTGGGTGCCAAGCGCGGAAATCACCCTGTCAGATGCTCATGCCGCTTGGGGCGACACGGGGATAGAGAGCTGTTTGGCGAATCTATCCAATCCCTTTAGGCACATCTGTAAGGGCAGATGAGCTCAATCTCGGTCCATTTTGGACCCGAACGATTCTGCGAATGTACAGAACCAGTGGCTACCGGACACATGTTGCAGATGCGTTCAGACCCGGTTTAATGCCCATTCAAGGCAATGGCTTCTGCTCCAACAAGGTGCAAAAGCAGCGGCTTTGGACCACGGGTTGGGTGAAGTCGCTGTTGGTTAGGTCCACGCCTGAGAGTCTAGCTGCAAGAAGTGGTCCACAAGGGTAGTCTTTGAATACTCGTCACAGGTGGCGAACTCCCAGGCTTCAAAAGGCCTTTGAATGCTTGTTCAGCGGGGGATTTCTACAAATTGAGCTCTCTAATTGCTTTTGGAGGAGAGACTCCCTGAGAAGAAAAACCAGTGAGGACATTCGTCAGAGGGTGAAGCGAATCCGTCAAAAGGTCCTTCAAGTCTTCGGCACCAGTCCATTCTCTTTCTCTTTAGGCCCTCTGCATCGCGTTGCTTTGTCACATTCAGAGAGTCTCGGAAAGCAGGCGTTTGTACTGCAGACCGATACGTATGCAAAACGTTGCAAAACAATTAAAGTCCTCATCGATTCCGCAAGGGAACATCCAGAACCGGATCCACTCGATTCATGGAATTTACTTGTTGTATAAGTACAAGTACGGGTCCAAAAGAGCTCTTCCTGCGCTGATTCGGCATCTAGTTTTACTATGGCTGGAGGAGCATGTAGTACATGATTGCTGCAAAACACATCAAAACACACACATAACGGTCAGCCGATCCAGAAAAGTCTGGCTCCGCGGCCCAATCTTTGGCTTACAGCACCATTTGGTTGTGCAAAAACATTCTGGTTGACTCTGTCTCAACCAAAGTCTTGCAGGGCCCTCAGCTCGGAGCGAGCCTCCAGATCAGGTGACCACGACTCTGGACACCTTGAAGCTTTGCAATGATCTACCTGCTGGAAGAGCTCCTTTGTGGGGTGAAACCTAGGCACCCACCAGGCCCTTTTCCATGCTGAACTCCAAATCTTAGAAGGCCAAGATGGCTGAGGAATCTCGTTTCCTCCGACAGGCGTGCCTTTCTCTGACCCGCGTGGTTCGGCTTGGTTCAAGATTGCTAACGAGCGAGAGAGAGAGAGGGCGAACGAGGAACATAAAACCACGTTGCCAGCAATGATCTAATCCCCTGGACTGATTGACCACCCTTCTTCTAATTGCAATGTGTTTGACCCAACTGAGACAGACTCACAAAATCTCACAAAGATGTCTTGGCTTAGATGTGAAGAATTGAATCGTTGACGATCAACTTTTACGTGTCCTCAGATGAGGGATGGTTCTTAATGCACAAGGTTGGACAAACCGAGCTGATGGAAGAATGGTTTTGGGTTATCGCCCATGGTCCCTGGCCTTCACGTCCATATGCGTCCCATCCAAGACTCCAAAGACTCGCTAATCTTCATTAGGATCCCCGTCCCTGGCCATCCCTGGCCATCCCTGGCCATCCCTGGCCATCAAGCCCTCCAGATCCCCCCCCACCAAAGAGGAAAACAAGACCTGACCAAACGCCAAGTGATCCCCGAAACAAAGGACCGCCCCTCCCTTCGTTGCCGCCGCCATGGACTCGGCCCGCTCGGTGGGCCGAACGAGGACGCGCACGAGGACGCAGCTCAGTCCCCGGGCGGCCGAGGTGGAGGATTTGGAGCAAGGTGGTCTATGTGGAAAAATTCAAAATTGTATCGATTATCTCATCACTGGTGACTTTGTGGGTTTATTCAAAAGCTGCAAGCGGAGTGTCAGGAATTGCATCAAGCATTATGGAGAGCGATATGACAACTTTGTTGACTGGATTGCGAAGACGGCGAAGGAACAGGAGCACCGAGCCAATGATGCTTCGATGCAACACCCCTTCCCGACGATTCGGATGATCGTCAACAGCAATGCCTTCGAGTTTGTGGGTAATTTGGTGATTTTCTGCAATACCTTTGTGGTGGGCTGGCAAGCGGAGATCTCCCCGAAGAAAGCCACTCAGGCGGAGCAAGACTTGTCCATGTTGTTTGAGAATTTGTTCACCTTCGCCTTCGTTTTTGAACTGAGTCTCTCCACCATGTGCTGGGGCTGGACTTATTTGGTGAAGCGTGAGAACTGGCTGGATGTCTTCCTCGTCTTCCTGGGGGTTTTGACCACTTGGATCTTGGGCCCCTTTGGAATACAGGCGCGCAAAGGAAGGTTCTGCCCGGCTGAAACAAAGAGCCGCAAGACTCAGACATGTGAGTATGAGATAGTATGAGTCCATGTGAGGTGGTTTTCCTGCCGCGCCACTCTTTTGAGCGGCCCTCCCAACAAAGAACAGTGAATTCAAAAACGCCAGTTTGGTTGTTTCACCATGTTCATTGTTCAAAGAGATTGGGCTCCTTAGGTCGGCCCCAATCCTCCAGGTGGGCCCCAAACCACCGCAGATGTTTTTCGACCTGCATTCCAGGTAGATTTTTTGCGGAAGCTCACTGCCTTACGAACCTTGCGCTTGATCCGCCTGGCACGGGCCGTAAGATTCAGACCTGAGTTCAAAGATATGTGGGCCTTGGTGAAAGGCCTCACTGAAGCCGGAGAAACCTTGTTTCTCGAAAAAAGAGAACACAAACACACACACACACTGGAGATGAAAAGAGAACAAGAGGTCAACAGGAATCGAGAAGGGATGGTTTTCCCACAGGTTCTGACAGCCTTCAAGCTGTCTGTGGTCTCCAGCTACAGTACCCCAAAAAGCCACAATTTCTTGTTGTGAATTCCATTCTTTCAGTGTTTGAAGCGGCCCAGACGTTTCTGGAGAAGATCCCAAGCGACCCAGAGCAAGCCCTTCGACCCAGAGCAAGCCGTTCTTCTCCTTGAAAACCTGACGGTGGGAGGTTTCATTGATAGTTTCACGGTGTGTCCCTAAGGTTTTGGACCTACGTGATGATTGGCTGCGTACTCTACGTTTTTGCCATTATTGGCACTTCGTTGATTGGCAAAGCAGAAGCCTTTCAGGACAGCGCGCTGGCGCAGGAGAGGCGGAGAAGAAGGGCTTAAGCTTCACCGTGTGGAGAGTTCACCTCAGCGTGGGTCGGAAGCATCCGGTTTTAACCTTCTCGCGGATGACCACTTTGTTTTGACCACTTTCTTTGGACCTCAAAGAGTAGGAACAAGTGCCACGCTAGTAGTAACAAGTGCCTTACTAGTAGGAGCAAGAAGCTACTAGGGGCTCCTGGCCTTACTAGTAGCAACAAGAAGCTATCAGAAACATTGGGGACAGAAGAAACCGACCTTTGACCGACCTTTGAGAGCGATGGATTACTCGTCAGGAGTACTTTGGTGATGTCGCCTTGTCCATGCTCACCTTGTTTCAGCTCATGACTCTGGATTCTTGGACTGGCTTCGCCAGGCCCTTGATGGAGACTTGGAGACATTTTTGTTTCGATGCAATCGAGGGCGGGCAGCGGGCAGAGGGCAGTGCGGGCTGGTCTTAAGA